GGACGTGCTCAAAGGCCGCATATTGACGCATACGGCTTGGCATTTCTTTGGTCATCTTGATCAAGCCATCGATGGCCTGGCGAAGTTTCCGAGGCTGGATACTGGTCCATAACGTCTCACGGAGATCATTCAGACTCTTCCAGATAGTCGACAACGCTGCCCAGACTGACATAAAGTCCTGAACCTCTTCCAGAATTTGCGGCAAAGAGGACTGGGAGCTGGCAGGCAAGTCAAGAGCCTCCTTCGCCTTCGACACCATTTCGAACTCGGACTGGAGAGACTCAAGACGCGTCTGGAACATACTCAGAGTACGAGATGCCTCTTCCGGAGGAATGGTACCAGAAATCGGCTTGTCTTCGTTCCACTGTGCAATCACCTCCGCGATCCTGTCACCGATCACCTTGTCTTCAGCGGCGATCTTCGCGCGCAATCCCTCAGTCTGGTCCTGGACGATCTTACTCTTCCGTGCAAGCAGTTCATTCAAAGCTGCCCATTCGCCGTCAACGTTCTCCACGTGGAGCCAGTCGTTGGGAAATTGGTAACGCTGACGGGCGAGGGTGGCTTGACCTTGGCGGAAGAGGTCAACTTCCGGCTCCCAGACCTTAGCCTTGCGCTTGCATTGCTGGACAATGGTGATAAAAGACACAGCGTGCGCCGTAGAGGATGCTTCCAACGTTTGTCCTTCCAAGTCGCGACGAGCGGAAGCAATGTCTGAGTGTACTTCCCGCATGCGGCCACCGAGCTTGGAGCCGAACTTGAGGAGAATCTCATGTTGCCACTGGTCATACTTGGCGTTGACCCTGGTCTGCACCTGCTCATAATCAATCTTGATATTTCCAAACGAACGGCTGACTTCAGACGTGTCGAATGTGGCACGGCTCTTCCGGATCTCCTGCAGAAGCTGCAGCCATTGGGAGAGGTCATCGCCAAGGATATCGTAGACGTGCTCAGACCGCAGATCCCAAAGCGACTGGAACTGCAACCACTTATCAACATACTCGGAAACCTCCTTCACACGGGTCTCCACGGCGCTGTAAACTTCATTGAGTCCATCAGTACAGTACTGCGGCAGATTGGCGAAGCAAGTTTCCGAAACGTGAGCCTTTTCGACTTCGATCGAAATCTGGTACCGGGAAGATTTGATCCTCTCGAGATTGCAGATAACGCCCAGCCAGTGGTCGAATTGCGAGAACCAGCTTGCCCGTGCATATTGCAATGGCGGGTCCAGATGCAGCACCTGGTTTCGCATGGAGATCTCATGCGTCAGTTCAGGGAATTCGATCTTGTATATTGTCGCTTCAACTTCGCCTGTTGCGGGATATTGAGTTCCAATGGAAGTCTGCGTGTTGCGCTGCTCATCCTTTGCCTCCTGGAATGCAGTGATCCATTCACGAATGGCACGAGTGAGGCGCTCGCACAAGATGGCCTCGATCTTCTGGTTAAGGTTTGCAACCCAGTATCCGAGGTTCACGTAATTTTCCAGGTTGAGCTTATCGACAGCCATCTGAATCGTGTCTAGTCGTTGCTTGAATGCGGAGGCTTCATACGGGCAGGTCTTAAGCTCGTGAATCGCCTTCTGGATGCTCTCATTGATCGAAGCCAAAACGGCCGTCTTGGATTGGAGCACAGACGCGGAACCTGCAAACTCACGGACGAACTGAATATGCTTGCTTTCACCCCGAGTAGCAAGAGTAGAATCGATAGCACCGTTGGCTAAAGCGGATTCCTTGAGGTGAAGTTCATAGGAATGAACAAGCGACTCCCACCTCAGGCGGACACCCTTTTGAATCATGCTCTGGGTGTCATTGATGTATCCATTAAGAAGTATCGCGACCTCGGCCATCGAGGCAATTGAGCGGCTAGTCTGCAGCAGTGTACGAACGCTCTCCATCAAGCTAATAGCATATGGATAAACACGCTTGGCGACCTTGGAGATGTTGCTCACCGCGTGAGGTACATGGAAGTTGAGCCAGGTAAGGTTTCGGACTTCCTTGAACAGAGCGATAACCTGAGCGTCAAAATTGACAGCCAACTCTAGGCTGTTTCCGGCAGCGCGGTTCTTGACGATATTGAACAGATATCCAGAGATCGAGATGTGTCTCCTTTGGACATCGTGCATCCACGAGTCAAACACTTGTCGAGTATCGAGCTTCTTGCGGAACAAGCTGCTTTCCGCTTGGAGCTTCTGACCCTCCGAATGCAGATGCCAGTCCTCACCAAGGACATCCTCGACCTTTCGCATGTAACCCTCAAGCTGGCGTTCGATTTGGCGCGCCCAGATAATCGCGCCAGAGACGGGCGGGAGATCGCGCAGCTGCGACATCGCATGCGCTTCTGAGTAGCCATATTGATGCTTGAAGCGCTCGTGCAAGGCCGAAATGTCCTGTTTCACGTTCTCAATGAGCTGGGTCTGGTATTCACCAATAGCACCCCGAATCTTGGGACGGACAAGGAGTGCGTTAAACTTGGAGAATACCCGGAACATCTCATTGGCGTTCTTTGCTGTGGCCAGGCGGTCACGAAGACGGGCGATAATGGAGTTCTCAACACGTGAGGTGCGCTCGTTGTATGCGATTTCTTCTTGAATCCAGAGCTGAGTGCCCTCAGGAGAAACGTCAAGCACATCAACATTCTTGAGAGCAGCATAGGCCTGCGCAACCTCTTCCACGGCATCCACATCACCAATCTCTTCCACAATAACAGCTTCGTCGGAGCCTACTGCTGCAGCATCACCAGATGACGAGCTCTTTGGACCTAATACATTGACAATAGTCCTCTGGAGTTGTTCGTGGTTGACGCGGAAGGTGTTGATGTACTTCAACCGCTCCTGGGTCTTCTCATGACGTGGGGTAATCTTGATGGGGATGAATTTCTCGTTCCGACGACGAGTAGATTCACGAGCTACGCTGGTGAATTCCTTCAGGTTCTCATCCCAGGTGCGCCAAATGGCACCGGCAGTCTTCATCAATGAACGGAATTCGCGGTAATCCAAGTGCAGGATACTCCGACCATGAAGTAGACTATGAATTTGTGCATCAAGATCGCCTGAGATGGCCTCGACAAGGGCAAGCGCTCGCTTGATTGGGTACGGGCAGATCTTCAACTTCTTATTCAGATGTCCGAAGATCAGATTGAGCGATTCTTGGACCTTCTGCAGCGTGGTGGCAGACAAAAGCTCATCCAACGGGAAGTCTCGCATCAATTGGTTGTACTTCTGGACCAGGTCCATGGCCTCCCGCAAGCCGGTATCCGCAGAGAAACTCAGAGTCGCTTGGTAACGTTTGGCATGGCGAAGAATGTCCATAGTAAGCTGGACACCATCACGACGAAGCTGGTTCTCAATGCCTTCCAAGGCAGTCTCCATGGATAACCAAAAGTTGATTTCTTGAGCTGCGGACCCACTGTCAGCGTCGCGAGACATCTTCGTAATTGTCTGGATGGACCGAATCCACGCGTTAACGGTGTTCTGAATGCTGTTGATGAAACCGCTATTGTCAAGTGTCGCTGAGTCAATCAGGTCCGTGGTGGCTTTAGGAAGAGCACGCGCTGCGGCCTCGTCCAAAGCAGCCTGGACAACCTCATGGAGGGGCAAGTTCAAAGTCGGGATCTCAACATTCTGCTGCAAATGCAGAAGCCCGAGCTCCAACTCCGCAAACTTTTTCTTCGTTCCAGGAACTCCGGTCTTAGCCTCCGTGTCCGTCCGGGGCTTGGACCCCGCAACTGCATCTTGATTTCGGGTGTAGGCCTCGAAGTAAGGACTCAATCCGTGGTGTACCAGCAAGTGTAGGATTTCGTACGGGGACATAGAAGAACCCTGTTGGGCTTGGGCGTTGTTAAGCGACGCAAGACCAGGAAGGTTCATCACCTGAATCTGCGTCGCCATAGGAATCGTAGGATCAATCGGGGCGGGACGTTTAATGAACGCAACCGACGAAATCGTCGTAGAAGCAGAGGAGATCTCGGCGGAAAGGTTGTACACATATTGGGTAGACGATGCTAGAATCGAGCAATCAGATCAGTCACCTATCGCTCCCTCAAGCAAATTCACCCCGCCACACACACCGCACATACCTTGACCATCCTCCATCCCATCCGTAGTATCTTCAGATGCCACAATATCCTTCTGCACATACAGAGCGACCTGCGCCTCCGAAGCGAATCGCATACATCGCTGCACCGTGTCGTTGTACTTCGTCGGTGATAGCAAGCTACCAGTGCTTTCCAGCTCGGTTTTCAGAGCGCCCAAAGTCACCTGCAGCACCTCCGCCAAATATTGAATCACAGCAGCTGGATCGACGAACGACGCTTGGGGCGGCGCGGGCACGCCATTGGACACCTCTGTCGTGGCGACCTCCATCGTTAGATTTCTCTTATGGGTTTCGGGAAGCAATGATCATCGAGCGTTAGACGTTAGGAGAAGGATCGGAAAGCCCGCGGCGGCCGGACGAGAGGGAATGTTGTTAACAAACGCGCCGACAGACTCGTGTAAACAAAAGCGTAGGAAAAAAAAAAAAAAAAAAAAAAAAAA